CAAAACAAACAAACCTCACAGATTAAAAAAATAGTCTAAATAGCAACAACTGAGCTATTATGGGGACCCCCATACTTGTTTGTTTGTTTTAGCACTCTGTGCACCTTGAGGAATTGAACCCCGGATTTTAGCGTTGCAACTCCTTAAACTTATCGCTGACCCACCGCAAGACTCGCCATATTCGTAACTAATTTTGAACTATTTTATAATATTCCACAGATGTTACCACATCGTTCTAACCCCACCGTATCGAAACAAACGGTATTAATGAAGGAGCCCCCTGTGGCACAACGGTATGTCTGCGGACTTAAAACGCTAGAATCCGGGTTTCGATACTTGTGGTGGGCAGAGCACAGATAGCCAATTGTGTAGCTTTGTGCTTAACTTGAAACAAACAGTGTACTATATATATATATATATATATCACCCATAAATAATCAAATGTATAAGTCTTTATAATTACAGGATTATTTTGGATTTTTTAGATCAGAGAATATTTACGTTACCAATTGTGATAGTATGAACGCCTTTACCCTGCTGGCAAAGCATGCTTTTTATACACTTCCTGTCCCCAATGGCACAGCTGGTATGTCTGCGAACTTACGACCCTAGAAACCGGGTTTCGATATTCGTGGTGGGCAGAGCACAAATAGCCCATTGTGTAGCTTTGTGTTTAAGTTCAACACACACAAACAAACAATATACACTTCTAATTATTTAAAACCCTTAAAGGACTAGATAAAGCATGTAGTGTTAAAGATATTGTTACGTCTCTGGTCGTTTGTTAATTTCCCGTATAATTTCTTTCCGATGAAACTTCAGCGATACAAGTCCTTTCTTAATTAAAACTAGTTTATTATTTCTCGAAACAACTTTATAATACACAGAATTTCCACAGTCACTTTAACTTAAACACACGTTTTAATTCACAACGATTCACGCAATTTACTTACGGTCACTACCGCTCACTTGACTCGATTATCTGTCTCTATATCTCCCCTTCTGCCATCATCTATGCCGTCACTATTTATCTCCGCTTTACTTGCCGGGCTTATATACTAAAATAGATGGCGCCTAGAAAAGACTAGAGTTGCCAGGAAAAGTGATGATCCTTTTAAAACTCACGACGTGTTACCAGAGTCACGTGACTTCCGCTGTCGTAACAATATAATAGGCCTAATACCAACTAACTTACATTACCAGATTACCGCTATCTTTGTTAGAGCAAGTAACCCTAAAGGACCAGATAAATCATGTAGTGTTAAAAATATAATAGGCTTATTACCAACTAACTTACATTACCAGATTTCCGCTATCTTTGTTAGAGCAAGTAACCCTAAAGGACTAGATAAAGCATGTAGTGTTAAAAATATAATAGGCTTATTACCAACTAACTTACATTACCAGATTTCCGCTATCTTTGTTAGAGCAAGTAACCCTAAAGGACTAGATAAAGCATGTAGTGTTAAAAATATAATAGGCTTATTACCAACTAACTTACATTACCAGATTTCCGCTATCTTTGTTAGAGCAACTAAATTTGTATTTGCAGAAATTTTGCGTAAACTATGTTCAACCGAAAGAATTTGATAGAATTCTGTTAACCCTAACGAGCACGCATAGATTACCGTATCGTTGAGTGCAGAACTTGGTTGATCAACGGCTAAGGTCGACATCTGTTATAGTAACAGAACAATTTGTAATTTATTGCCAGTCTTACTGTGATGTTTCTTCACATCTGTATATTAACCAAGTCTCACGTTCTGTTAACTAAAGTGTTCTAAATTGTTGCATCACAAACAACTGATATAAACAGTGCTTCACCTAAAACTTCATGTATTATACCCCAGACAGACAGCTTGATAAACTCTCCTGACCAAGATAGAGTTGAAAGGCTGTTGTACACTTGTTTTTTTATTTGAAATGGGTACTACGTGATTTAGATAATTATCAATTTCGTTACAATGCCAAACTTACTTCAACCAATTCTCATGTCTTATTTCAATGTGGATTTAAGCAGTGCAACCGGCATGGCCAGGTGGTTAGAGCCTCGACTCGCAATCGACGGGTTTGAATATTTGTTACCACATGTATCATCTTCGGAGTTTTGACCGAATTCCTCCTCTGGTATTTCAGCTTCGCTTTTCACAGAATTATAAATGTTTTATGTGGTAGTTTTGAGTTCATACTTCAGATGATAAGTGGCCTGGTGGTTAGGGCGCTCGACTCACAAACTGAGGGTCGCGGGTTCGAATCCCCGTCCCACCAAAAATGCTCGCCATTTCAGCCGTGGGGGCGTTATAATGTAACGGTCAATCTCACTATTCGTTGGTAGAAGAGTAGCCCAAGAGTTGGCGGTAGGTGGTGGTTACTAGCTGTCTTCCCTCTAGTTTTCACTGCTAAATTAGGAACGGCAAGCCCAGATAGCCCTCGTGTAGCTTTGTGCGAAATTCAAAACAAACCAAGCAACCGGCATGCTGTTCATCGAAATACAGGGTTCAAATACAGGACGATTTTTGCGTGGAAACCAAAGGTAGAAGCAGAAATTTCGATAACGGAGTTTAACATTGCTGTTAAGCGCTAACCCTTAAGTTATCAATTTGTTTTTATACCATCCACTACCGCTAGGATCCACATTGAATTGGGTAATTTAATATCTATGGGGTTTTGAGTCCGTTATACTTCACCATATGATAACCTATTTTTACTTAACTTAGGTTACTGTATGGTGAAGTGAAACGGACTCAAAACCGAATAGATATTATATACACTCCACCATTATAACAAGCCTAATGGTATTACTGACCCAAGCTGTGGTGATGAGCCTTGAATAGACGAAACTGTAGTCCATAGCAGAGGGTACGGCCAATCAAATAATAAGAA